CGACGTCGCGCGCGTCGAGCGCCGCGAAGCGCACCAGCAGCTGCGCCACCGCCAGCTGCTCCTCCTCGGGCGGCGGTGGAGGCAGGTGGAGGCAGCGGAGCTCCTCTGCGTCGAGCGGCGCGACGGAGCCGTCTGTGGCGACCCGGTGCGGGACGACGGCCGCCTCGCGAGGCGAGTTTCCCAGCGCCACGTGATGCAGCGCCGACCGGCCCGCGTCGTCGCGCGCTCCGCTGCTGCGCGAAACCAGAAGCAGCCGCGAGAGGAAGGCGAGGTCGCCGGTCCGCGCGGCGAGGTGGACCGGCAGGAGGCCCGACGGCGAAGGTGCGTCGAGGTCAAGCTTCGCGTGCCGCAGCAGCCGCAGCGCGGCCGCCTTGTCGCCCGGCTCCGCCTCGGCGAGGCTCAGGTGGTGAGCCGCGCCGAGCCCATGCTGGTCGCACAGCCGGTCGGGCGAGGCGGCAGTCTCGAGGAGCAGCCGCAGCGCGGGCAGCGCGCAGGTGCGGCACGCGAGGAGGAGAGGTGGCAGCGTGTCGCCGCTCTGATCGTCCATTTGAGGCTGTGGACGACCGGAGCCCCGGGGCGGCTGGCGCTGGGCTGACTCACAGCCCGCGCGTTCGAATTCTTTTACGTTTCAAGTATGTAGAGAGAGAGAGAGAGAGAGAGAGAGAGAGAGAGAGAGAGAGAGAGAGAGAGAGAGAGAGAGAGAGAGAGAGAGAGAGAGAGAACCCGAGGGCGGACTGCTGACGGGGTTTGCGATGATGAGCGATCCGAACGTGGCATTCGGGTGATCAGATCACCACCGCCGAAGAGCGCACGTCCCCTCCTCTTAAATCGCGCGCAATTCTTTTACTTGCGCCTTCAAGCAAGCACCGGCAGCAGAGCCTCGACAGAGCCCCCATGTTGACATGCGCTCTCCTCTCGGCACAGGCCCTTGTCCCAGTCCAATCCTACCAGCTGCGCACGCCCTTCTCGATGCCTTGCGCGTCGCACCTCCGACCGCCGCCGCGCACGTTGCAGTGCCGACCCGTCCTCATGCAGGGGCAGCGGCGAGAGCTCGAGGTCGTGGCGCAACCGCTGGCGGCGCTGCGCTTTGCTGCAGGCCGCTTTGGCCTCGCTCTCGTGGGTGCCTCACGCGTGCTGGATGGCGCGGTAAACCTCGTCGCGACATGCGCGGCGTGGCTGGTGCGCGTGGCGTTCACGGCTCTCCTCCTCCCCGTCCTCGCGACCGCCTGGCTGCTGCGCCACCTCGGCATGAGCTGCTGCAGCCGCGCCGCCACCAACGTGGCGGCGGGCGGCGGCCGGGCCGCCGCGGAGCAATGGATACCGAACTCGACGTGCGTCGGCGCACGTGGTCTTGCCGCGCCGCGGCCGTCGCACGTCGAGTTTGAGGAGGGGCAGCGGCTGGCGCACGCGCAGATGCTGCAGCGCTCCCGCGGCCGGCCCGGCAGCGCGCCGCCGGCCGGCGAAGCAAAGCGCAAGTACCTCCTTCTCGAGCGGCGGGCGGACGGGCACGTGGCGCCGGCAGCCACACCGGCAGCCACACAGGTTACCACACAGGCTGCCACACCGGCAGCGACAGCGGCGCCGACGCCGGCTGCGGCGGTGGTGGCGTCCACGGAGGGCGGCCCGGCCGTGCCCGCGAGGCAGCTGGCGCCAAACTCGCCGCCCAGCCTCGCCTCCCAGGCCCGGGCGGACGGGGCGGCCCGGCGAGCCTCGTGGATGCCGCACCGGCCACACGGAGCTGAGGCTGCGGCCGCAACTGGCGGCCCGGCGGTGTCGGCGGCGCCGGCGCGACCCTCGCCCACCGCTGCCAGCGATGCGAAGGGCGGCGTGTCGGTGGCGGCCGAAGACGCGTCGGGTGCCAACAAGTGGCTGCCGCCGAGCTTCCGAGAGGCGGCCCGAAAGTAGCAGCCTCCGCAGCCCCACCCGGCTTGAGGGGAGGTGCAGGCCTGGCCGGGCTCTCCGAGTGCGAAGAGCATGTGGGAGAGGGAGGAGGGCGGATATCGCCCTCCTCGGCGTTATCTGTTATTGCCCGCGGTAAGTCGCGAGGCAGCGCCGAGATCGATGGGTGGTGTAGCCAATGTGTGATCGATTCAACGCGTCCGGGCAGCAGTGTGTGGGGGCTAGAGCGTGCGCTGTGTGCCCGTGTGGATGGAAACAAACCCGGTTTCGGATTCCACTACAAGTGACTAGTCAAGTGAGAAGTGTGCGCGCGCCAGCGGTCCACACACTCCTCTGACACTCGTCGTCTTCTAAGCTAGAAAAAGATAAATTCTGCCGGCGACGGGCGACGGGGACGGCCGACGCGGCACGCGCCCGCCCCGGGGGGCGCCGTGACGCGCAACAACGCAGTGGGCATGACGCCGATCGCCACGGCTCCCAACGAGGTCGTCGCAGCTGCGGAGCGGGGCGACGAGCAGGTGGTGCGGGAGTGGCTAAGTAACACCGGCGTGGCTGACCGCGGAGCCTGCGTTTTGAAGCTGCTGCTGGCGGCCGCCGCGGAAGGCCAGGAGCCACTGGCCGACCTGCTGCTGCAGCACTGCGACGACGTCAACAAGCCAGCAAATGACTTCGGCCAAACCGCGCTGCGTTTAGCAGCCACTGACGGGGACGGGCGGCTGGTCCGCAGGCTGCTGCAGCATGGCGCATTTCCAAATCACCGGGACGATGATGGCGATACCGCGCTCGTTGCCGCCGCCGAGGAGGGCCACGAGGAGGTCGTCAATGCACTGCTGCGGGGCAGGGCGGACCCTTGCGTCCAGTGCCGCGGCGGTGAGATCGCGCTGCAGCGCGCCGTGACCCATGGTCACACGGCCGTGGTGCGTGCTCTGCTGCTTTGTCATGATGACGCCAAGGCTTTTGTGCGCTCCGTCCCATGGGACTGCTCCGGCTGCACCTTGCTGACCAGCGCCGCGACCGGAGGACATGAGCGGACTGTTGACGAGCTGCTGGATTGCGGCGCTTCGATCGATGGCAGGGAGGAGAACGACCAGACCGCCCTGATGGTCGCCGCGCAGCACGGACACGGGCGCGTCGTGGAGCTTCTGCTTCGGCGCGGTGCCTGCGTCAACCTTGTCGATCTCGATGCCGACCTCCCGGAAGACCAGCCAGCGGAGTACGGTAACGGGTATGCAGCCCTCGCGCTCGCCGCCTACTACGGCCACCCTACCATCGTGAGCCGCCTGCTGCAGGCCGGCGCAGACATGAGCCTGCGAGGCCTGGACGGCAAGACCGCACTGCAGCTGGCGAGGGATAGGGGGAACGTTGCGTGCGTCGAGGCCATCCGGGCCCACCTCAGGGAGCTGTCAGAGGCGAGGGCAGCACACGACAAGGCGCTCGCCGAGAAGGCGCATGCCGAGAGGCAGGCGCGTGAGGAGGCGGAACAAAAGGAAGCCGACAGGATCCGGACATGGCTACGCGATGAGGAAGCGGTGCTGGCGTGGCTCGACGGCGGCGGGGAGATCGACGCGCCTGAAATCACCTTCGATGTGGGACGGGTGAAAGATGGGACGATGCTGATGCTCGCCGCCGACGACGGCCAGGGGCGGGTGGTCGACATAATGCTGCAGCACGGCGCGGATGCGAACCGAGTGGCAAAGAACGGCAGTGGCCTCACGGCGCTCATGTTTGCCGCAGAGCAGGGCCACGCGGAGGTGGTTGAGCTGCTGCTGCGTCGCGGCGCGGACGTCAACTATCAAACGAGACGCTACCAAAGAACCGCGCTGATGATGGCTCGCCGGCATCTGGCCGTCGTGGACACGCTGCTAGCGGCCGGCGCGCAGCCCGACCTGCAGGACTGTGCTGGCGATACGGCACTGATGGCGGTCGTTAAGGATTGCCACCCGACTGATGATCCCGACAGCCAAAGAACTGATGCTTGCTCCTCGATCGTGCTGCGCCTGCTGCGGGCCGGGGCGGATCCAGAGATCCGGAGTGTGGACGGCGAGACCGCGATAGAGCTTGCAAAGAAGCCGATGTATGAAGGATACGGCGATGAGTGCGTCCGCGTGATCGAGGAGCACATGGAGGCGGAGGCGGCACAACGAGGCGCCGCCCTTTTGGCCGAGATTGCAGCAGAGGAGGCTGCCGTGGTGAGTGCCAAGGTGAGCAAGCAGGCGAAGAAGGCCAACAAGAAGAGGAAGGGAAAGAAGACGCCCCCAGCGCCCCCCAATCATGGGAGTTCGTCCGCAGCGGCTGCCGACAACGTGGTGGTCGCGGGCGATGCCGTTGAGCCCGCGGGCGACGCCGCCGACGAAGCTGTCGGCGGCGACGCGGCGACGGCGGCGGCGCGCGACGCGGCGGCGCTGGACACTACGCTGGGAGGCGAGTGTGAGGAGGCTAAGGAGGAGGGGGAGGAGGCGGAGGCGGAGGCGGAGGCGGCGGAGGAGGAGGCGCCCGACCACTTGCTTTGCCCCATCACGCAGGAGCTGATGGAGGACCCGGTGATCGCTGCGGACGGTCACACGTACGAGCGGTCGGCGATACAGCGTTGGCTGCAGAGGCGGCAGACGAGCCCCAAGGCGGCACGCCACTCGAGTCGGCCACGCTCTTCCCCAACCACCTCCTTCGCCGGCTCATTCTCGAGTGGCGCGAGGAGAGGCAGGCGGCAGCGCGGCCGTAACTCTTCTCCCGCGGCGCCGCTATCCGTATCAGAACCAGAACTAGAAGAGATAAACGAGAATCGAGATATCAGTTATCACGCGCACGCGCCTAAAGTGGTTAAGTGCTGGTCCCTACACCCTAGAGGACCCCGTCTCGCGCTCTCGGCTGACGGCTCTGTCGCTCCCCCGTTTCCACTCTTATATGAGACCTTACGTGCGGCTGGCTCAAGTACATACCGTGGGAGAGGTGTGGGTACGGTATGAAAAGATATTTTTAGGAAATACGAGTAATAACGCGGTCGCGAACTCTGAGCAACTGACGGAAGGTTCATTGACACCACGCACGCACACACACATCGACTGGGCGAGGACAGGGAACGCGCGCGAATCGGCGGCGCAAGCTCAGCCCGCAAGTTGGTCCTCGGGCCCGCGCGGCAGGCTCGCGGCGAGGGTAGCGCGGTGCAGGAAGGCTGCGACCGCAGAGCCGTCCTGGAGCGCCTGGCGTCCTCCCGCCTTGGAGAAAGAGTCGCGGCCGAACCGGTCTCTCGCAAAGACGTCTGCCCCAGCCGCGACCAGCAGCCGGGCCGTCGCGTCGTCGCCAAACGTGGCGGCCAGATGCAGCAAGTTTTGTGCGTCCCTGTCGCTGGTCGTCACGTCGGCCCCAGCTTCGACCGCCGCCAGAACACGGTCGTACCATTCGCGCGTGCTCCGATGGCTCGGGCCGGCTCGCAGCTCGGCGACGTGGAAAAAGGTTGGGAAGTCGGTGTGCGTGCCGCGTCGGAGAGGCCGCACTCCCTCCCTCCGAGCCTCGAGCAGCAGGTAGCGCGCCTCGAAGCTCGCGTTGCGGCTGCGCGCGTAGCGCAGGTGCGGCGATAGGCCCGCGAGCGCGGAGCGGGCCACAGTTGTGAGCTTGAGGCCACTGCAGAGCCGCCCCCAGAGCGCGCCCTGCGCCGCGACAAAGGCGCAGAGCCGCCTGCATGCCATCCTTAAACAGCCGAGCGACTCTGGATGCGTTAGGAGCTGCGGCAGCAGAAGGTCTGCGAGGAGCTCGTGGCCCTCCGACGAGAGCAGCAGCGTCAGAACGTCGCGTCCGCGCTTCGGCCGGTGCTGCGGCGGCGGCAGCAGGGTCGCGAGCCGCGCACTCGACCGAAGCGTGCGCGTCATGTATCGCCCCGCCCCCCCCCGCCAGGAGGCGAGACCTCGAAAGCTCGAGGATTGTCGGAGAGGTGCCGAACTTAGGCACGCACAACCGCCGCGATTTCTTCCCGACCCTGGCGCGCCTCGGGCCGACAGCCGACTCCTGGCCTAGGCCACGGTGCACGCTCCGCCACCGTGCACGGTCGGTCCTCTCGCATGGCGTCTCAGCAGCCGCCACCGGCCCTCGAGCCGATGCGCGTCTACCTCGATCGCTCGCGCGAGCTGCAGGCTGCCAAGCCGATCGTCGCGCACTACCTGCGCGTCTTTGCGATGAACATCGCGCTGCAGCTACGCTCGCGCCTCCGTCCGGCGGACCTCGTGTACGTCTCCTCGCTGATGGACTCGCTCGAGCAGGAGCGCACGCAGCTCGAGGCGCAGCGCGCGGCGAAGCACCCGCAGGAGACGATCCGAGAGTTTGCCATCGACCTGTCCAACCGCGCACGCTCCGCCGACAAGCCAGAGGTGTCAATCCCGAACCCGAGCCAGCGCTGGACGATCGTGGACGCGCCAAAGGTGGCACAGGCATACCACGCCTCGGCCGTCGTGCTGGACTCGCTCCGCCAGTTTGCGCCGCTCGCTCCAGATCTCGCGCAGCGGCAGCAGAGCGCGCACAAGCGGTCGCAGCAGTGAGCTCAGCCCGCCCGCCCCGCCCCGCCGCAGCCCCGCATTCGCCCGCCCGCCGGCGAGACCGCGCCTCGCCGCCTCCCGACCGCCCGCGGCCCGCCCCACTCAGGCTCTCCTTGGCGCTCTCGCGCGCCCTCCGCTCCCCGCCCTGCGTGCCGGTCGACTGGAGGCCGCTCCCAGCCTCTCTCCTCGCGCCGCCCCTCCCCTCGCCGCCGCCCGCGCCATCCGCACCGGCCGCGCCGCCGAAGCCGCCGCCGCCCCCCTCCGCCCCGCCCACCGGGCCGCCGCCTCCCTACACCCCGGCCGCAGCCGCACCGCCGCCTCCGCCGCCCTACGCCCCGCCACCGCCAGCTGTGCCGCCGCCGCAGCCCTTCGCCGCTGCACCGCCTCCCGCATCGGCTCCGCCACCGCCGCCCTTCGCCGCCCCGCCGCCCTTCGCCGCCCCGCCGCCCTTCGCCGCCCCGCCGCCGGCTGCACCACCGCCGCCGGCCGCCGCAGCACCAGCACCAGCACCAGCGCCGCCTCCGCCTCCGCCCGTGCCTCCGCCAGCGGGTGCGGGCGGTGCCGGTGCCTCGCACGAGGCGGGAGACGAGGTGTACGAGGCGGGGGACGAGGTGTGGTACTACGAGCGCGGGGTGGGGTGGACTCCGTCCGGGGTCGCTGCCGTGCACCGCAACGACGTGACTCCGTACTACACCATCTCGCACAAGGGAAGGGAGCGGGAGACGGAGGCACAGCACCACGCGGCCACCGCCACCCGCACCCGCACCCGCCCGGCCACACTCGCCCTCCGTCCCGGCTGAGGTCACGGTCCCGCACGATCTAGTTGGAGGTGGGACGGGCCGCGGTCGAGGCGGCGCGGGTGTAGGTGTTGGGGCCGGGGAGGCTGGGGGAGGTGGTTGCAGCGGGCGGCGGGTT